TAATAGTAATATTTTTCTCAAATTGTTCAACTTTATATATTTTGTGTCTGTGTGTATTATACTTGTGACTAGCTTGAAGTTCATTTCTCCAGAATAATAAGCCCAAAGAGAAATCAAATTTCTTTTGCATCCAAACTTACACATTACTTATCAAACATTGGAAAACACAATTGTGAAGATTACATCTAATTTTAATTGCAAAAATAAATAAAAACGGCAAGATTAAGGATTAACTCAATATGAAACCGAAGTTTGCACATATAAAAATGGCTATGCAACAAAAAAAAACTCTAACCTGAGGATGGCTTCACAGATAAAGGAATTGTCGTAGAGCATGTCGAGCTTCACTGCAGGCAATGAAGCCACCATGTCCATGAAATTCCTGGGCACTATCTTCACTTGTGGCATTGTTCCCAATCTCTGTTTTGGATCAAATTAGTGTTTTTAATTTCAATTTCTCAACCTAGGTTTAACTCTGATGATTCTATGGTACTTTCGCCTATATATTCATACGAATCATGACAAAGAAAAGTGCAGATTATGAAGTAAACTCGAGCAAACTCAAGCGATGAAAATCGAAAAGTTCTTTGATTCGTGCGATTTGGGCCAGATGATCTTGGACTTTCTAGCGTTTGCTTTGGATTTTGAAGTTTTGAAGGCGAAAATATATTTGGGCCTTCGAGATCAAGGGTAGAATTATTTCGTTTTGTTTTTTGTTTTTTTCCCTTACGTTTATGACATTTAGAAGCTTTTGTTTTCAAAAACACGTGAAAACAATTTTTCGAAAAGGTTTTGAAAAGTTTATTCAACTAAAAATTGGTTTTTTCTTTATATTTTTTGCAAAACTGGAAAATTACTCCAGATGTATTTCTTATTTTGTTTGCAAAAATAGAAAAAACTTATCTCTAATGGTGTTTGGTTTGAAGAAAAAGAAAGTACAAAAGTGTTTTCGGAAAAAAAAAAAATTGTTAACACTTTTTAGAACAGTCGCTAATTAGTACATTAGAAAATAAATGCATTTAGAACGCTGAAAAATAGAGTTAGGAAAACAAAAACAAAAAAAGTAATTTTCTACTTTAGGAGTATTAGTCAATTAATTGGTACAAAAAATAATGAAATTCCCAAAAGCACTTTGATGCTTAACAGCTGAAACTCTTTGCAATGTCAGTGACTCAGTGTGTTAAAGTTTTGAATTTCAGATTTAGCCCAAAGAAGATAAAATTTTATAAAAGGTGTTGTGTTCTCTTTCGTGCTAAAATCATTTATGTTTTCCCGTCTAATCAACCATGTTAATTAAATCCGGACAAAAGACCATGTTATTAATGGTTTATAACTTTATATGGTCTAGCAACGGATTTATCACTTGGAAATTTTTGAAATGATAAGCTATTAAAACAAAGATGGAAAAGAAAACCAAAAGAAGAATGTTAGATGGACTGTTTCTAAGAAGAAACTGGAGAAAAGAAACCCCACATGAAATTTGTTCTGCACAAGTTTGGAATTAGTATAAAAAATATGATTTAAGTCAGAAACACTAACAATGTAAAAAATCTCTACACTATTAGTAAAATTTAACAGATAATAATAGGTTATTACTTAATTTCCAGGTAACCAAATCAAATATGCTACGAAGACTTATATAGTAAATAGCTATACTTTCAAATAAGTAGCATATATATTAATATTTCTAATTGTTTCAATTGATTGCAATCTTTTGATTGTTTGTAACTTTGTTTGTTTCAAAATTGTACAAAAACTTCCATGTGCTTTTAGAATAAAGTCTGTAAAACTCAACTTTCACCCCCACGTTATATGCCTTAGAACAAATCTTTGAACTAAAGTAGTAATCCTTAGAATATATTATGTATGCTACTCTTGCCTATTACACAATCAGTTGTAGAAAATGTCAAGATTATCTTCATTGTAATTTAAGTGAATATCCAGGATATATATGCTTGCCATAATAGTTCAACTGGCTTCAGGCGGTGGTCTTGTTCTTATCAGTTGGCTCCTCTTCTACAAGAGGCTTGGACGACCTGTTTGATTGGATTTTATTTACTTTCTCAGAAGGGATATCAAACTGCATAACAAACAGTAAATAGTTAAATAAAATGAAACATAGAAATGCAGATGACAAGCAGTTTATTAAAAGAAATTTCTACCAATCTCATGTTTGTTGAGAAATTTTGTGCAAGCAATAGCAGAAAAGGACCGATCAATGACAAAGTACTGACCTTGAAACCACAGCCAGCTACACAAGCACGATGGCAATCCTACATTCATAAAACAAGAGTATATAACATATATATATATGTGCAGGTAGGAAAACACAGTAAATGCCAAATGTCAGTATGTTCACTTGATAATTGTAGTCCAATATATATCAGACAGTTGCCAACATAGTAAAGATGTAAAATCACTTGGGAATTCTTCTTTACAATTTGATTTTAGTAACTATATTCCACCATTAACTAGATATGACTCCAAACCTAAAAGTTGAAACAGAAGTATAGGACACAAAATCTTAGCGAATGGTGCATAGATCTTGTTTCCAACTCCATATTCCATCGGTATCTGGTTGATTAGTCACTACAAATTCATGTTGTTACTTTTTGTTAGACAAATTTTTCAGCATTATCATTCCTCCTGCGACAGAAACAAAGTTCTATTGAAGCCATAGAGACAGGGAAGAGAAAACAAATGTTGACAGTAAGTGTTAAAAATGACAACAAATTTGAGAATATAAAAGGAAACCTCAGATTGGGTTGCAGAACCAGGGGCACGATCAATATAAGCACTCCATTGTTGATCCTTCAGAACTGGACCCTTATAGCACATTTCCTCACATTCTTCCAAACCTGCATATATATATATATATATACCTTTTCATTTTCTATTCTACCTTAATTAATTCATTAGAGAAGCATCACACGAGCGAGGGTGCAAATTCAACAAAAAGACGTCTCATAATTAACCATTAGTTATCTTTCAAATAATTAAACATCTTAATTGAGGAGATGCTTTTTGTTCAATCACAAAGGGAAGCAACATATTATGGACATTCTGGAAAATTTGAGTTATGAATTAGTAATTGCTTGTTCACCAACTAATGGCCATATGTCTTCACTTAAGCTGGCTATGTTACAGAATAATTTACACATCATAAAATAGAAGCTTGGAACTTACATTCCTCCCAAGTATCTCCATCAGCATCACACGCCTTTTTGCAAAAAACTCTCCCTACAAAAATGTACACATCATAAATTTTGAGTTGTGGTTTCAAGCTAAATATGCATTCCAAGAAATAAACTACTAAAAAGAGGAAACTACTAATGAGATAGTATGTTGAAAATCTTAGCCGCAGTTTTCTTCTGCCTAATGCAGTCTAAGGGCAGCCTGGTGCACAAAGCATCCCAAATGATTAGCCAAAATGCACTAATATTCTATAACTTTGAAACTATGAAACATGCTTGCAATTTTCAACAGGAATATCGCGAAGCAATATTTCAATTATATCTTAATCACAAGCTAGTTGAGTTCGCCTATATTTATTCTCTAGATTCATTCAGCTCTATTGGGCCATCTTATTCCCATACTAATATCAATTTCAATGATTTAAACAAGGTATATAAAACTGCTATTTCATAATAAGCTCAAGAAAGACATGAGTTTCATAATCGTTATTGTTCATTTCTTTTATTGAATAACTAGCTAGGCATTTCCAATAGGAAACATTAACACAAAAATGAGACCTTTACATAAAACAGCAAAATTCCCATATCCATAAACAAAGTCTTCCAAATATCATTCCAAAATAAAAAAGTTTTTTTTTGTTGGGGGTGGGGGGTTCCAAGAAAAAGGGAGAGAGTAAATTACAAGGAATTTGGGTGAGAGCAGAGAATTTATTAGTGCATTGTTTGTTACAAGGCGGTGTCCACTGTTGCGGAATCATTTTTTTCTCAGCTTTTTATTATTTTATATTCTCTAATCAAATGGGAGATAGGAACATTAATGGAAGTTTTAATGTAGAAGATGAAGTTAGAAGGAAAAACATAGAGGAGGAACGTGAGTTAGGAAAAGGATGGACTGAATCAAAACGTAGAAAAATAACTAGGAATATCGATGCAGGAAATAGGGGGAAATAATTGTTGATTCGTAAATTTAGGCGACTCATCTCTTGTGTGCCAATGTTGTTATGTGTCTTGTTTTGGACACCATGCAAAAGGAAGAAACTTTTCTTTGTTTCTGTGCGTTTACGTTAAAAGAATGAAAAATGAATTAATGTAGAATTATTTGTCTCCTTTCCTTCCATTTTCTTTCAAAATCCTCCAATTCTCTTTCCATCCTGAATAAAATGTCCTAGCTTTCATTTAGAATTGCCCAAAACTTATTCTACTTTTCTTTTTAAATAGTTCCCTTCTTTTTTTTTTTACAGTCATTTAATTTGTTTATTTTTATAAGAGTAGCTCGAGAAGATATATATCCCATTACATTAATTTGCAGACGTGTATGAGAAAATAGATCATACTATAGAAGTTAGGGATTTGAGTACATGTGGTGTAAGTCGTGATTACTCAGTAGGTAGAGTGGTTGGAAAATTTGTCACCTACCCAAGTCTAAAGTAAGAGTGGGCCAGGATTGTTAGTTGTTACTATCATTATAAATGATGCGCGGATAACCATTAATATTATTTAGAAATTAGTCGATATTTATTTTGTTTTAAATTTTTAAATTAAAAATTTTAATTTCAAGACAATTCAGAATATTTTTATCCTGAAAATTTAAATTGAAAAACTGTAATTCAAGACGCATTGACTAATTTCTAAATAGCAGTCCTTTAGAGTGGTTATTTTAACTAGTTTCATTTCTAGGTTATAAATGATGAGGATTACAATAATTAAACTTCAAATCCCAAATTCGATAAGATTTCTGGGGTCCAAAACTTTTACTACTACTATATATTATCTATACCTAGTGTGAAATTTGAAAGGAACAAATTACCAGCTAAATAAGTGCCGACCATTAATATTACCTCTACATTATTATACCAAGCAACGTACTTAAAACGTTTTCCACCTACCACGACCTTTCACCTCTATCTTTCTCCTTCCACACACAGTACCAAACTCCAATCATCATCTTCATCTTTTCTCTCCCACTTTCATAAAAGATTCTGGACTTCCATAAAAAGATCAGATTAACATATGAATCCAAGAAAGGAACTCCCTTTTTGATTTATCAAAAATTGATCTCGTTGATATATATATATATATATATATATATATTGCGTCCAACCTTTCTGTCGGAGGTCAACCTCCAAAACCAAGAGCTCATTTCAAGAATTGAAGAGACAAAAAGATAAAAGAAAATATGGAACCACCATCATCATCAGGGGTAAAGGCTCGTATTTTAGATGTTCCACTTCACGGGGTTGGGTTTGAGTTTGTAGAAATCACACCCCACAAAATCACTGGTCGTCTACCTGTGACAGAAAAGTGTTGCCAACCATTTAAGGTGTTGCACGGTGGAGTTTCAGCACTAATAGCTGAGTCTCTGGCAAGTATGGGAGCTCATATGGCAAACGGTTTTGGGCGAGTTGCTGGAGTTCATCTCAGTATCCACCATCTCAAGAGTGCTCATATTGGCGACCTTGTTTTTGCTGAGGCTGCACCTGTCAACGTTGGCAAAACTATTCATGTTTGGGAAGTTTGTCTTTGGAAGATTGATCCAAACAATGAAGAAAACAAGACTTTGATAGCATCATCAAGAGTCACCCTTAAGGCCAACATGTCTGTACCTGAAAATGCCAAAGATGCTGCTGTCAATCTCAAGAAATATGCTAAGTTATGATCAGGTTTAATTGAGTTTGTCTGCAGCATATATATTTGATTGTAAGCAAAACTGTACATAGCTGGGCTTGCAGCGATTAAAAAACAATAAATCCCAACTCGTGATACTGTGATTCAAATTGTAACTCTTTCCTTGTTGCAATCTAATTGCGAAGAAAGACAAGAGATGGCTTGAACCGATTTTGGAGTTTGATGCTCCATCAATAATTAATAAATTATTTATTCACTCTCTTGCTTTTACTGTATTTACTGACATACTAATATATCGCATCTAATTCCAAATTCGATAAGATTTCTGGGGTCCAAATATGTAATACGTATTTTTCTGTGGGAAAAGATGGAAGGAACAAACCACCAGCCAATTAAGTGCCGACCATTAGGTTTACCCTTACATTAATATACCAATCAAGATGCTTTAATTTTTTCACCTACCACGCACTTTAACCTTTATCCTTTCTTCTTCCTCACAGCTATCCCAAAGTCCAAACTCCAATCATCATCTTCATCTTCAATCTAGTTCTTCTCTGCCACTTTCATCAAGATTCTTGATTTCCATAAACAGATCAGATTTACCATTTCAGAATATCTGAATCCAAAAAAGAAACTCCCTTTTCTATTTATCAAAAATTGACGCTGTTGAGATATGAATATTTCTTACCCTATTACTTTGAAGGAACAATAGTGTAACAAAAAGGTTCATTCCAATTTGGACAAGCGCTTCTACTAAAGCTAGGAAAGTGAGTCAAACCTTTCGGCCCTCCAAGACCAAGAGCTCATTTCAAGATAGCAGAAAATATGGAACCGCCACCATCAGGGGTAAAGGCTCGAGCTTTAGATATTCCACTTTATGAGATTGGCTTTGAGTTCGTAGAAATCACACCCCGCAAACTCACCGGCCGTCTTCCTGTGACCGAAAAGTGTTGCCAGCCATTCAAGGTGTTGCACGGTGGAGTTTCAGCTCTGATATCTGAGGCTTTGGCAAGTATGGGAGCACACATGGCTTCTGGTTTTTCGCGAGTGGCTGGAATTCATCTTAGCATACACCATCTCAAGAGTGCTCAAATTGGGGACCTTGTTTTTGCTGAAGCTGCACCAGTCAACATTGGCAAAACTATTCATATTTGGGAAGTTTGTCTTTGGAAGATTGATTCAAACAATGAGGAAAACAAGACTTTGATAGCATCATCAAGAGTCACCCTTAAGACCAACATGTCTGTACCTGATAATGCCAAAGATGCTGCTGTCAATCTCAAGAAATATGCTAAGTTATGATCAAGTTCAGTTGAGTTTGTTTGCAGCATATTCGATTGTATAAGCAAAACTGTAGAGAGTAACAAGGCAATAAAGTAGAGCAAAGAGTATTATTGGGTGTGCAAAACATGTTGTGAACCCCTTGCTATTGTTTGTCCTGATAAGTTGTTTTGAATACCCAAAAAAGAGTAAAAACTACATTATCTGATGATTTCTTTGGTTTGTGGATCATATTGGTTTGACCATTTATCTGTTTCCTAAATTTTATTTTAACCAAGCCCAACTATACCAGGCTAAAAAAGAAGTTGAAGGAAGATGAGAAGGTAACTTCAATTTGCCCGATCAGCAGAGGGCGGCGTGCTTATCTAGTGTGCCAATGCTACAGAGTGAGTTGCTCTTCTAGGCGGGCAGCTTGTGACAACACTACAGAGAAAGCGGCACTGGACCTACCCGGGTTTGTTCCCTCAATAAGCACATTAAAATGCTCTCTCTAAGTTTTCTGGAATAAAGGCAAACCTTAATCATTTCTCCGATAAGCAAGTAGGTTAGGTTAATTGATCGATCAATCAACTAACCCTTACTCTTATATCAGTTGTTGTCGTCTATATAATCCTCAATATCCATTTGGCCTTATTTTCCAATATTAATCAAGTCTTTAAACAAGTAGGCTAACAGCTAGTTGGCCAAGCACCTCTCTTGAGGCAACTCTAGCACTACACTTGGGAACAATGATTGTCAATTAAAAATGTTACATCAATCATTACATGTAAATGTTTCACCAAGAGCTTAATAGCTAAACCTCATAACTATGTGTTAACACTTCATTAACTATGAGCATATCCTAATGAATAGTTTAAGTGAGACTGCATCATAAAGATAGTATTACGTCAATCTTATTAATTGAAATCTCATTCATCTGACCCAGCCACGTAGGTTGATATTACACAGCAACGCCCCTAGCATTGGCTTTTCCCCATTACAATTTACACTCGAGCTGCTATCCTACCATCTCATCCAATTGTCCACCTTCTCCACAACACAACCTCATTAAGATAATTGTGGAGTCTTATTTTACCCCAACAACTAATGTCCTTTTTGTAATATAATAATTGTTAGAAAGTTCTCATTCTCCATGTGCGTAGTAGCAACACAACCTCAATAAAGGTCATTTTAGACGAAGTAGTCAGAACTTTAATAACAAGATAAACCATCCAGAAAATGCTGTAGATCACCTAAACCATAAGCTCCTATAGAAAATTTAAGGAGCTTTGAAATCCAAAAATTCATCCACATCATGTGCATATCTGAGGAAACAACAAAAAGACATCAAACATTTGAAAGAGCGACTAGAGGGGAAAACTCCCTCAAAACATCTATGGTTCTTTCTCTCCACTAGGACCACAGAAATGCAGCCCAATATAGTATGTTATATCTTTCTTAAGGGTTCCTGACCTGCCGCACCAGCTAACATATGCATCTTTCAGAGTGTAGGGCATTACCCGCGGTATACCAGCAGGGACCTAAAACATGAATCCCACATATCCTTAGCCAATGTGCAATGTAGGAAAACATGTTTCGATTTTCCATCTCCGCTTTATACTTTCAACACCTATTACACAGAATGACTCTTCTTTTTATGTTCCCAGAGTCAGGCAAGCCTCACACAAAGTTATTCAGCTAAAACAAGCTATCTTCCTTGAACCTCTAGTTTCATACCAGGCTTCCATTAGCATCATTTTGGCTAAGCTAAAAGTTTGATTAATGTTGCCAGTAGCACGATTGGTTCATAGGATTGATTTTGATTGCCAATGGGAATGTTACTCTGCCCTAATTCGTAGATTAGCTTTACAACTCCTCAAGAGAGAAAAAACTAGCTTTACAACTTTGAAGTACTTCCATACCTATACAAAATTTTGTGTGTGCTTCTTAAGTTATTATATAATGGGACAAGCCTAGTAATTCTGCAGCATAAGTGAAGCTTAACCTTCTTAACAATTTAAAGCTAAAGAATTCCCAGATAGTACTACATATAAGACCTAGTGGTTAAATCTGATTCTAGTTTAACAAAACTGAGGGAGATATATTGTCGCAAACTGTAAAATCCTGAAATATAATACTTGAGTAGAAGTGATCTTTCGAGAGTTGAATACTTATGTAATTCAGGTATTACCAAAACGTAGTTGATGATCATCATTTGTGTCTCGAGTGAAAACCTCAACTAAATTCCACATCAACCACTACATTTTCATTAATTTCAATCAAATTGTCATCCCTTAGAATACCAAGCGTCAACTAAATTTGACTTATGAACAGGAAAAGATGTAAGATGAATTATTATTGATCCTTTGGAAATTGAACGCTTATATGATCAGGAACAAAAATGAGAAACAAATACTTATTAAAATATGCATAATTTTTCTAACTAAATGTTCAAATGGGAAAAACCCTACAATCTCACAACAAAATGTGGACGATGATTGTCTGTAATCTCCATCTTTGTGCTCAATAGACAAACTGAGCTACCTGAATTGATGGCAAAAGCAAATATTTGTGACATCACGACATTATTACACTAAAAAAATATCATCATTGAATTGCTAAGCAATCCAACTTACAGAAAACAAGGCACACTCAAGCTAAGCTTAAACCTCATCCAAATTTCACAGCGATGGCACTACATCATCGATCTGCGCCAAATTCCCTCCCATAGAACACAGTATGTTTCAACAAATTTTGGCAGCTGAGTGGGAGAACGACAAGATCAACGACAAGTAATCATTTCGAAATTGAAAAAGCTCATCAAAATTCCACATCAACTGAAATAAATTTAACTACTTATTTCTAATCAGCGTAAATATTTCCATTCCAATGGATGCCAAGTTTCAACTGAATGCCTGAATTTGGCAAATCAATACGGGGGGAAAGAAGAGTAAAATCAAGATTTAGGAAAGTTGTTTTTTTTTTCTAGCAAGAATTTAGAACGCACCTGGATTGAGGAAGTTAATGGGAGCTTAATATATACTAATGGGTGTCTTAGGCCCTGTCTTTTATTTCCCTCCAGCCAAAGTTCAAATTTCTGCTACTGTGCTTGTTCCTTTAAGCACCTGTGAATGAACAAAGAGCCAAAGAAAACGAAACAAACAAGGAAGAATGAGGTAAAAGAGATTTTGGAAGTCTTGTGTAACAATTTAGGACACATTAAAGGGGTTTGGGGTGAGATTAAAAATAACAAAAGTTGTGGATAAATACTAAAATTTTCAAAAATTTTAAAAAACCATACACATTCAAATTATTTCAAATTTTCATTTCCCTCTTCTTTCTCCTCTTTACTTCTTCTTCTCCTTCTTCCTTCTTTCTCTTCCTCATTCTTTCATTCTTCTTCCTTACTTTCTTTTTTCTCTTCAACTTTTGTTGTTGGTGCTTATTCGTCTATGTCTATCTTCTTCATTTTCTTCCTTGTCTTTTTCTTCTTTCCCTCTTCATCTCATTTTCATCTTCTTCTTCTTTTTTTATTTTTTCTTTTTCTTCTAGTGGTTTAAAATATACAAGAGAAAGAGAAAAATATAAAATTTTACAAAGTGAGTATTCTGCAAAATACCCTCGAGATATTTTGAGACATTCTCATAAATGAGTATTATGCAAAACATCTTCGGAGAAGTTTCAAACATCCCCGGATGTTTCAAACATCTCTCGGAATATTTCTTCTGCTTCTTTCTTTTTGATGTTTGATTTTTTTTCCACAGATATTTCAAACATCTCCACAGATGTTTGAAACATATGTGTAGATGTTTTGAAACATCTCATTAGATGTTTGAAACATCTTCTTAAATGTTTGAGGATTAAGAGTGGTGGGGGATAGAGAAGAGCGTTGCGAGATGAAGGAGCAAGGGGAGGATAGAGAGGAGCGTTGCGAGATGGAGGAGGAGGAGGATGAGAACTTTTTTGTAAATAAGAAAATTTGGGGGTTTTTAAAAATTATATCATTAATACTAATTACAAAAGTGTCCCTTCTATCCCATTCTTAACATTTTTGTCTTAAAAATTGATATAAGTTTTGAAATGTCTTAAAAATTAAAATCCCTCGACAAACAACCACCTTTTTTTTCCTCTTTCCTTATTTTGTTGTAGTTAGGGCCTTGTGCCACGTGGCCTGACTTGGCAAGTAGACTTAATGGGCCTATTTCACTACTATTGGGCTTACTTCTAACACATAAATTGGGAGATTTGCACAAATAGCCGTGCCACTTTCTGAATTTTGTCCCTATTTAAGGAATTAATACAAAAATAACCTCAAAACTATACTCCCAGAACACATCCGGAGGAATTTTATTCTTCTAGGTGTGTGATGCCAAGGCTATTGTTGAAAAACTCCCTTAAACGGGAACGATGTAAAGAAGAATTAACCCAAATAACTGCCCAACCAATCGCTTAAACAAAAAATAGTCGGTGGAGTATAATATATGCATAATTTATGTATTATATGTGTATAATTGTGTGTAATCAAAGTGTATGGCTAAAAAAGTAAATAGTAAATATAGCCGGCTATTTTCGTAAAGATCCTTGAATAGAAGTAACCATAACGCTGAAATTGAAAATACAGAGAATTTAAAGTTGAATTTTTGGGAAAATAAAAGTGAAGTCGTTTTTATACATAAATTCCACTTGATTTTTTTTAATTTATTTTGTGAGGGAAAATCAATATTTCACTAGAAGTACTTCTTAGACTAAATTTAAAACTTTAAATTCTCTATTTCAAGTTCAAACTCCTTAGTTTTGCTTGCAAATACTGGAAAAGGAATCTACAAACTAAATTTATAGATTTTTTTTCAACGTAATGCCACTGATATTGCGGTATTGCAAAGCTATAATTTGCTTCTCCACTGCTAGTATCTTTCCTAGCTCTCACTTAAATATTCACTTATATCTACCTCACAAAAATATTCGTGTCCACAAGTTTCAATGAGGTCGGATTGTCGAGATTAAGGGTGTACATCGATCGAGTTGGTTCGATTTTAATTAAAATAAATCCAAATAAACTATATCGGTTTGGATTGTTTCGATTTTGTCGGATTTTTCGGGTTTTGTTATCACACAAATATTATTTCAATCTTACTTTATTAAAATTATAGATAAAGTTTTGATAAGAGTGTATATGTTTAGTAAAATTTGAAAAAAACTAACAAACATTTGATCTAATAAAATATTTTTATG